GCCCCAGCTTCCGGCTCTTCGGGATCCCCCTCCGAGGCCCTTTCTGTGTCTCATCCTTGTCTGCAGCCTGGGGGCTGGAGCAGAGGGGTGGGGAGCCTGTCCAGCCTAAGCACCAAATGCAGACCGCTTGATTCTCCCTGGCCGGGGTCTTAGAGGCTGCACCTGCTCCTGGGGTCGGGGCACAGGGCTCCTGCGAGGGCAGCCCTGCCGCCCACAGCCCCAGGTGGACTAAGCCTCTGGGGTGAGCCGGAGGCGCACATGGGGCAGCCCTCACCCAGTCCTGTCCAGGCGTGGCTCCTTGACCTTGAGGGTCTTGGTGCAGAGAAGGTGGAGCTGCTGGAGTCTGCTGGGCCCCACCCCCAGCACCCTCATCCCAGGAAGCCCCTGGACTTGACCTTTGAAATCTGGGGTCTATGCCCACAACACAGCTAGAGCCTCCACAGCCACATCTATTAGGCACCTACTGTGTGCCCTGAGAAGCATCTCACAGACATCTAATTGGATCCTCTCCCTGGTCCTGCACAGAGGTGATCAGAGTCCCCATGACGGGGAGACCCAGGCAGGGGGTAGGGTGAGATGTGTGAGACCCCAAGAAAGTGGCCAGGGAGCTGGTCCAGTGCAAAGGCTGTGCCTGCTGTACAGTGGCGGCCTGGCCCCGGTCCCAGGCCAAAGGGGCTCAGAGGAGAGGGGCCCCGTGGGCCCAGGGCGATCTCCACTGGGTAGCCACTGTGCCCACCACTGCCACCCCCAAGGCTGGGTTGGGAGTTCCAGCCCAGCTGCCTTTGGGTTCGGGGCGCTGGGAACCCAGCCTCGCTCTGAATTAGGCCTGGGTGCATCCACAGTGTCACCTCTGGTTTTCCAGGGCTCCCGGGCCAAGAGTCCAGGTGTCTGCGGCCAGTCCGCAGACGGCTCATAGGCTGAATTCTCTACAGGGGCAGCAGGTGGGGTGCCAAGAGAGAACGTGCCCTTGAACTTGGGCCAGCCTGGCCTTGGGTCAGGCCAGCCTGGGGTTTCCTGGGCAGGGAGACCAGAGTTCTCCCAGGCCTCCGCCCACCGGCTCCCACTGATTCCCACCCCACCCCAGTCCAGGCCCTATCCGGCTTGCCTTCGGGGAACATTGCAAAACCCTGGCTCAGCAATGCTGGCTCCCCTCCCCAGTAGGTGAGAGGCCAAGGCGGAGGCGAGGCCTGTGGAGGCCAGAGGGAAGGCCTCGCCCTCCCTCGGCCAGGCAGTGGCCCTATGCAGGGGCTGAGGGGGTACGGGGGTGCGCATGCCATGCTGCTCGCGAGCCAGACCAGGCTCCCAGAGCCCAGTTTGTGGTCAGGGCAGCGGTGGTGCAGGTAGATAGAAGCTGGGCTCTATCAAGCCGGGCCACGGGGGCAGGGCAGGGGGCAGGCCCACGTGGGCCAGGGGTTCCTGCAGTGGGAATGGAGGCCAGATGGGGCTCGGGCGGATGGCTGTGACTGTGGAGCGAGTCACTGGGACTGACCCTGGTGGCCCAGGGCAGCCCTGGAGGATGGGAGGCGTGGCAAGGTGGTAAGCTGATGATGGCTGAGGGAGCACAGAGAGGGGCCGAGGAAAAGGCAGGGAGGCATGGTCTTGGTTGAGGTACCTGGAGAGGGTCAGGGCGGGCAAGATGAGCAAACCCGTGGGACCTCCAGGGGCAGCTGGAAGGGGGCCAACTGAGGAAGCCTTGGTTGTTGATATGGGGCTGAGGTGAACAAGGGGGATGAGGGCCGGTCCCCCGAGCTCCCTGGCTGGGATGCCCCAGCTCTGTGGCATGTTTATAAGTGTGTGATGCTCTGCATGTGTGCGTGTGTGTGTGTGTAGTGAGGGGACAGTGCGAGTGGAGGTCCAGGCTATCTGTCCTTTACCCACCCCTCCCTCCCTAATCTGAGGACAGCCTGGCTCCAGTCACCATGACAACAGTGCACCCCTTCTGCTGGGTGCCGGAAAGTGACCTAGTGGTGCTGGCTGTGCTGGGCCCAGGTGGACTGTTTCCAGGGCGAAGGGAGGGGGTGTGCCCCCTCTGGTAGGATCCAAGCTGCTCTCCCCACTCAGGAAACACATGCCTTGAGAGAATGGGGACTTGAAGAGGCACCTAGCCCTGGTCTGAGGCTGTCCCGCTCAGCAGGATGGCCAAGTAGGTGGAGGTGCTCACCCCGCGCTGGCCCCAGCCTCTGGCACACTTGGTGGGGTGGGAGGGCAAGAGACAGGGCCTGGCTCTCTGCAGTCAGTGAGGCAGCCCTGCGCCTCAGCCCCAGCCGAGCCCTCCTGCTGGTGGCCTCTCCGTCCCGGAGAGGCCCCTGCTCTGCTGTTCGGGAAGTTGCTGACCTGGGTCTGGCCTGCCTGTGGGGCTCAGAGCTATTTTTAAGGCCCACCGGATGGGCCTTCCAGGAACCAGGAAAAAACAGGCAAGGCTTGGCCTCCTGCACTGCTGGGGATGTGGCTGGAGTCAGGGGTGTGGACCAGACCTGCAGGGAAGGGGTGGCCTGGGGTCACTTACCAAGGGCCATGCCTAGGGCAGAAGGGCAAAAGGCCTTTGAGTCTCAGGTTTGGATTTGCTTCCCTGCATGAGGAGGGTGGGGGGCTCCACCGCCAGGAGAACCCCTCAGAGCCTTGGTTTGCCAAGCTGAGAAATGGGCTGAATCACATCTATCTATAGGGTGGGGACAGGGTGAGGCTTGAATAGTGCTTGAGGAGACATAGACTCCATGTGGTCTCACAAGCAGAGATTCCCAGCCCCCTGCCCCAGCCCACTCTTTGGGCCAGACTGGGCCTGAAAGAGGCCCCCACTGCAGAAGGACAGCCCCTGGTGAGGGGGTCTGGGTCCCTTCTGACCCTCAGGGAGCTCACAGTCCACGCAGAACACACACAACACATCTGTAACACACACCAGAGTCTGAGAGAGATGAAGGCCCTGAGGCAACCCCCACCTCAGAAAAGCAGCTGCCTCCTGCTCTGCTCTCCACACCTGGACAGGCCGGGGACCCCTCCCCACTCCCAGAGCCCTCTAGAAGCTCAGCCCACCTTCAGGGCTGGCAGTGGAAGGACACTGGCCTCACCCAGTTCTCAAGGAGACGGCACACTGTTCTGAGGTTGGGGGGGACTCCGGGTCTGGATCAAGACTCTGCAGCTGC